TTTGGGAGTCCCCAACAACAGGTTGCAAGGTCAAAAAGGTCAAAAACACTTTCATTGTCTTATAATATGCATTTATTTTTACCTTACTTGCTCAACACGATTCGCTCGCTCAACGGTTCATTTTTCCAAACCCCTGCTTTGCGTGACGCTAATCTGCGGTGATTGGTCGATTGGTCTCATGTTCATTTCATGTCGCCTGTAAAGCCTGATAAAGCAGCGTTTGTGAGCGCAGTGCTGCTTTGTGTACAGTGTTACCGGGGAAACCGATATTTTTACCACAAAGAATGAATTTGCATTTTCATTCAGACCAACGTGAAAAGACCAACAAGTGGGCGGGGCAATATGCTAATGTTTCATGTTGACGTCAAAATTAAACGGCTTGTGATTCATTTTAAAAACGACTCGATTCAATGATTCAGAGTCGACTGAGAGACGAGAGACAATAACTTTATACACGGTGCACTTTCAGATTGAAAACTTTGCAGGATGTTATCTAGAGCTGTGAGCTGTGTTACACTGCATGAAAGGTAGTTTTCAAAAATCCACAATAGGGGCACTTTAATTTTTGATTAGTAATATGCATTGCTAAGAACTTCATTTGGACAACTTTAAAGATGATTTTCTCAATATTTAGATTTTTTTGCACCCTCAGATTCCAGATTTTCAGATAGTTGTATCTCGACCAAATATTGTCCTATCCTAACAAACCATACATCAATGGAAAGATTATTTATTCAGCTCTCAGCTATGTATGTAGTATGACGTGATGCATACATCTCAATTTCCAAAAATTGACCCTTATGTCTGGTTTTGTGGTTCAAGGTCACATATCATCTCATTTTATTGTCTGCATAGTTACACATTTGAAAATATGTGTGATGGTATATAAGAAAAAATACCTGAAACATTTACTGAAAACAAGAACTTTGGACAGCTGGATGTCTTTTCTGACCTTGAGCTCTTGGTCTTGCTGTTTGAAGTCCTCATCCTCGTCTGAATCACAGTCTGGAAACTGGTAGATCTTTATTCCGTACTGCTCGATCTCCTCTCGGATCTGAAGGGTTTGACACTGAAATAAATCCACGGGACATCTGTACACACACGTGACAGGTTTGGACAGCTTGAGCACTTGCCTTGATTTTCTTTTTCTTGACCTCCGCTGGGGTGAGTGTGTCAGCTTTAGCTAGTACAGGAACAATGTTGACCTTCTCATGAAGAGCCTTCATAAACTCCACATCCAGAGGCCGTAACCTGACACACCAACACACATTAACCACTCTCACAACAGAGCAAACTACTGTGTGTCAAGACAAACTTTGCATTATAGCTTAAATAAAGCCCGGTCCTAAAGTTTAAACCTGCTTAAAATGTCATTTTAAGGTGACATTTACAGTCATTTACATTCTGAATCCATTTTGAACAGAGATTTGTGTCACTCCTCAGACAGCAATAACAGCACCTGGCCAGCAGAGGGCACAGACAGATCATTTACTGTGTCGTATGACTGAAACAAGAGATGGACTGTTTCAGTGTCGTTGTCCAGTAAAAACTCTATTATGTGACTGTAAAATATGAGCTGCTGGGTCAAGCGTCTGGAAGAACTATTTCAGACAGACATCAAGCTCTTGATCTTGTTGCTCTTCAAGAACAAACAACATGTAAAAGCCATTGTGGTAACAAACATGTGGAACAAAAATAAGTGATATAAAATTATACTTGGACTAAATAGAAATGTGCATATGTAACATTAAAATTAGTGATAATGCATGATCAGATTATTGCATTAGTGCATGAAGTGTCCAACCTTGTTTTTTAGGTGAAGTGCATCATCCGGACATTTGAAGGGCACTTTTTCTTTTTGTAATTTTCATTTTTAACACTCTTATCAACTGTTTAGAAGAACAGCATAGAATAGCGCATAAGTATGTGAACTGGGACGCACATGTGCCCTCTGGAGCGAGCGAGTGTTAGCACATCAAGAACACAATAGCAGGATCTGACGGATCAGCCTTCACAGGGTTCGAATATAAGCTTTAACCACTGCACCACAGCACCGCGGTGAAGCCACGGCCCTCTGATCAGATCTAGAGTACCGCTGGTTGCGCTCGTACCCGTGACCGAAGGGCGAGATGAAGTACAGGCAGCAGTGCACGCGGTTATCCTGGATGTTCTTGCGGTTCAGTCCGCTCTCATCTCTGAAGTACTGCTCAAACTGCTGGTCGATGTAGTCTGCCACTGACTTCCAGCTAAACACAAAACACACAGATCAAAAACAGTAAGAGATTTCTGACAGTATCAGCATTATACATCATCGTAGTATTAGGTGTATCGAATCACTGTCTTACAGCAACGAGGATCTACTGAGATCACCAATCAGAAACCCTCAAGCCCTTTATGTACCATTCAGTGTTATTGACAGCGTCCCCGAATCCTGGTGTGTCCACGATTGTGAGCTTCAGCTTGACGCCCTTCTCCTCGATGTCCACCGTGTGTTTGGTGATCTCCACCGTCTGAGTGATCCTCTCTGCCAACACAGTGATTATTATTAGATTATTATACAGTAAAGGGAAGTGACAGCCGGCAGAGATGAGCCTCACCTTCAGCATTGAGCAGATTTCTGTCTTTGTAGAGATCTGTCAGGAACAGACTGTTGACCAGGGTGGACTTTCCCAAACCTGACTCTCCTGTGAGGAAGAAAAACACCACCATCATCATCAACAACACCAGAGACATTAAAGCAACAGTTCACCCAAAAATGAATGTTCTCTCATCACTCCTCACACTAGGTCTGATGTGGGTAATACAGTACAATCTAGTCACTGCCCGTCGTATCTGAAAGAATGTGAAGGTTTGAGAGATGCAGTGGAGTGGATGATTTCAGTGAACAACAGCTTCAATATTAGTAAGTGGAACAGAGCAGTGTGGACTAAATTATTTTTGGGTGAGCTATACCTTTGATATGCAGAACAGGAGAACACACACTTTCACATTGTTTGTTCAGTGGATGTTGAAATTACCTGCTACCATTAAAGTGAAGTCAAAGCCCTTCTTCACAGATTTGCGGTGAACCTGGTTTGGCAAAGTCGCAAAGCCCACATACTCCTTGTCATGGTCCTACCAAGAAAAAACAATAAGAGGGCAAGCAAGAGAGAATACAAAATGTTAAAGAGTATTAAAAAGGTCACTGAGCAGATAAATTAAAGGAATAAAAAATACATTTGTAATATTTTAAAATGAGAATACAAAAATATTAATAAACAATATATAATCCCTGTAATGACGCATAAATGTATAACATACTAACTACTCTTATAAAAAATAACATTTAAAAAAAAGTAGTTGATAGAGAGATGACCCAAGAAGCAAAAAGCAAAAAATACCCCTTCGGTATAGTGAAATGTCAGTCTTCATTCTGTCGGCTGTGTCTCTTATCATCATGCTTTATAACACCAGCAGCTGCAGGAGCTGACACACATTGAGCGTTTCTCTCTGGGAGGCAAACCACAGGTGCCAGGCTTTGGGTGGAGCGTCATAAACCCAAAAAGAGCTTTACGCCTTTCATTATCATCCTTTACACACATGCTATAGACCACCAACAGGATCCACTTAAAAACATGTCATTAAAATGCAAGGAAGTGACACATGAAACGCAAGCTCAAGAACAAAAATACGGTTCTAATTCAGAAACATAAAAACAACACAAGGTAACTGCTGTATGGGTGCTACTGAGATCCCTCAGAAAACAGTCCTGTGCCAGTAGTGTGATATAGTGATGGTGCTGGATGGAAATAATATCACAGTATTTTGATATGTACCATGGTACTGAAGGATTCAAAGAATACTATGGTACATTCCAACATAGTAATACAGTGCTTTTAGGTTAGACGTTCGGAATGATATTTTGGGGTGTTTGCGCAAAGACTCTCATGAGGGAATCAAACCCTGGCTATCCCAGCATGCTTTACCTCAGTCGAGTCATAGGGGTCATAGCGGCCCCAGGGGCTCTTAGGCCTGGATGGGCTGATGGGAGACGGCAGGTTAAAGTCCACTCGGCCCCGCTGAGCCCCGCATCTGGACTCGTGCTCTGTGTCTCCGGGGCCCCTGGGCGCCTCCGCGGGCCTCAGGAAGGAGGGCGTCCCTGGGGTGTGGGGTCTGCTGTGACCCTCGCCCTCACTATCGGCCCTATGGGGCCCGTGATGGGCCAGCGGGTGATGTCCCATGATGTGCTCCAGCTCCGAGTCCTCCGAGTCTTCCTTAGGGAAGTGCTGAGGTCAGGAGGGTCGGGACAGAACACACGGGCAGGTGCGAGAGTGGTTTAATATGGAAAATTAAGGTCATGGAGAAGAGAAGCAAAAAGAGAATAGACCATTTAGAGGTTAGATACAACACACTGTGCATGTCCTTACAAAAGATTACCATAGTAAATACCTACTATCTACTAGCAGCCCAGTAAATCACCTTTAGTGAAACATTTTGCCAAAAATTAAGGTTACCATGGTAAAAGTTTGACAAGGCTTTATGAATCCAAGAAAAGCACATTAGTAGTAAAAGGAGTGTTCCTGAGGAAGATGACACTGGACAGCACACATCTACATGACCGCTGTTAGTATCCACACGGGACGAGAGACACCAGACACACACAGAACAGAACACAGCGATACTCTCTGTGCTGATTATTGCTAATAATGACAGGACCCATGCTGCTGATGAGAGTCTATCCACAGCAGACATATGAACGATAGAGAAGTTCTGTTCAACACATCCACCACGCTCACGCTGTGGCTTTATGCTCTTTAACGTTTTCTCCACCAGCGTTTTTGAAAAACAGTTGCCAGGCACCGCCAGCATTTTTGATGATTTTCACTAAAATTTCATGGCACCCAGAATATTTTGTTGTATGAATATCTGAACATGCAATAAAGCAAAATAAAGAAGAGAGTCGATACTTTTAAACAAAAAACACTTTATTCTAGCTTCAAGCATTCTTTCTTTTTTTTTTAAATCAACACTTGAATGTATGTAAGTTTCATTAAAAAAGCAACATTTTGAGCAAAAAGCTGAGAAAATCACATTTTTATCAAACACTACATCTGGATCATATTCAGTAATATTATCAAAGCAAAGCTGCAGTAGATGGCTTCCGTCAGTACTCCCAAAGCTTGCACAGGCCTTTACCACTTTCTGGATCCACATTTCACTCGCTAACATTAGGCAGTTTTCATTTATATGCGATATTTATATTCTGACGAGCTAAGTTCATGTGTACAGACCTCTATTAAACACTCGAAGAGGAGTAATATCCATATTTAACTGCATTGCTGTCATTACACTCTTACAATGGCCAGGTTGTCTTGGGAAACCTGTTCAGAGAAGGCCATAAAAGGATGCATGTATTAAACAGCATAAGCAGCTCCTGTGTCCTGAAGAACAGAACCAATAGTTGGGCAATGTGACACTCTCTTGTCCAGCACTCGGGTTTCCACTGCTCTAAACCTTTGCGGATAAATAATGCATTGCGGTGCAGTGAATTTGTGTTTTGAGGTGCAGACATGGACCTGTACCCTGGAAAAGTGATTTGATAATCTGCTGCCACAACCTGGAAGAGGCAAACACTGAACTGAACAGATGTCCTGGATGAGTTTCCATCCATCCTTTCTCCAAACCACTTGTCCTCTGTAGGGTCGCAGTGATGCTGGAGCTCCCAAAGGCTGGTTAGTCCAGTTCTCACTGAATTTATCTGTGTTTTCCCTTCTGTCAAACTGATTTGTGTCATTAAGCACTTCAAGGCCACATCAGATATGAAATTAGCTGATAAAGAAGATTTTAAAGTCAACATGAAATGGCTTTTAAAACCCATTTGACTTAAGTAATGAAACACATTTCTGAATGCAACAAGATATTTAACAAGAAAACAATGTGAGACAGAGCTTGAAGAGTTTCAAAGATTTTCAAAATGAGTTTCAAAATCATGTTTGAAAGATGGTGTGTTTCCGAGTGTGAGTTTGCAGTGGATTGTGGGGGATTATTCTTCTCCTGAAATGCCGCTATCATACACTTTGAGGAGCCTTTTAATGGGAACGTGGGGGCTGAAGGTTCAGAGTTTCTCCAAGTGTCCCACTGGCTGCCTTGGGATAAATATAATGTTAACGGGCATTAGCATGGCCCTCAACAGCTATCTTACTTATGACTGATTCAGTTATTACATTTTCATGAAAGATTATGAAGACAACCCTTTTTCCGTAAGAATAACGTGCACTGAGAAATTGCTCACAATATGAAAGTCCACAAGGTCGATTGTGATTTAACTTTAACAAATGAACTAAGAAAATATGCCAGCTTGCAGAAGAAGGTTCTATATCTAAGGGCAGTGGGGCAGCGTCCTGAGAGGTCAGAGGTCAAGAGGGAGGGAGCTGCATCAGTACCTTGTCCACCTCATGCAGCCTGGGCTCAGGCGACGCTGGCGTAGAGTCCTGCTCATCTGAGGCCGAGTCGGCCTCGCGGTCACTGTCCTCCATGACCACTGGGGCTGCTGTACACTCTGCCATCTCCAACCACAGAGCGGCCGGTTGGAGCGCAGGTGCGTTTCAGGGGTGGGGGAACGTTTGGTGGAAAGCATGGCGAGAGGATGACAGAAAAGAAAAAGATGAAATGATTGAATAAATGCAATGAATTAAAGCAAGAGGTCTTGATGCAGCCAATGGAGATAAAAACAGAAGACGCTGGTGCTCACTGAAATTACTCTCAGGACCATTAGCTACAGAAGAACGCTGGAGATATTTCAATATGCTAATATATCTAAAGTAGATATACACAGTGTAAATAACCCCGCATGACACCAGAGCTTTACCACAGTCAGTTTCGTTGGTGTTTGAACAACTTTGCCAACACACATCTGACTAAATTTTTCACGTCGGTATAAAGTAATAAAGCAACAGCCTGTCAGATATCTAATGCTAACACTACATGCTAGCATGAATCCAGTGTCACCACGACAGCTTGATTTACGGTAAAAAGAAACTTGATTTTTAAATTTTTTACATTAAAATGTTGTTGCAGGCACTTTTAATTTTAGTGATGACTGTGTTACGTAACATTCTTCTTATTGAAGAGACAGGACTAGAGATCATAAACCCAGCGGATTGGATAAAGAAGGTCATAAGTTACCATTAATACATCTAGTGATAATGACAATGCTAAAACAATATCAATAGTGACGCGTGACTTGACCAGCAGCACTAGTTAAGAGTTTGAGCGATTAGCTGGCGGTGACCCGCTTTACACCCCATGTGTTCTGCAGAGATCGATGTTCGGTCTCCATCGCCAGGGGCTTTACTATTTCTGCTCGCTGCTCAATACCACTCAAGCACAGCCTCCAGAACAGACAGCTACAAATAAAAGCTACTACAACTCATTTGATATTGGTTTTTATTGTTATATGTAAATTGATGAGCGGAAACCAGTTGGTTTACTTGGTTGTGAAATAGGAAATATACACAGACATACACACTGGGAGCACATCAGCTAAATTCTGTAAATTAATAAAGGAAGCGGTGATGTTGCTCATCGACCGTAAACGACTCAACTCTTCTACCTGTTGTGCCAATAAACGCCTCATAATAAAAGGCTTCTTTAGGATGCACATTGCTCTTTATTTTCAGAATAACAACGTAGTCATCAGCAACATCCCAGTGAATCTGTTCTCTGTTTGGTCTCGTGGAAGCTAGGCAGAATAAAATGCATTTCCAGTATAAATACAATAATACAAACGAGGAACAATAATCTGTGCTGCATATATTCCACACTCATCCCAGCACGCAAGCAGATTCTCACCTGGAACGCCTCTTTGAGGATGAAACAATCTAAACTTCTTGCCTTGTTGAAGCCAGCTCCTCATTCCTTTTACCCGCACAGGACCAGCTCAGGCTTTTATAGCACGATATCCAGGGACGCTTCGCCCTTCACTGCATCGAGCTGCCCACGGCCCCAGGGCCCCAATCAGCAGCCGGCTCCACCGCAGCGGATCGACTCCAGGCCAGCCCAAAGCACTGGACCAGACCCCGGATACAACCTCAGCGGATCTAGAGCAAGAGCCCTCATCTCCATGAGTTTTATGGTGCATTGTGGGGAATCAATGACAGTTCGGATGTTGGGGGAACTGCTCTGCAGATCAATGCAGCTCTTTTAGCGTCACGGTGCATGATGGGATTTTGTTTGTGCGCCCCTCACAAGCAGCTGATTTCTGAGAATGTCAATAATGAGCTGCGAATTCCTCAAGCCAGGTACAAAAAACCCACTGTGTAATTGGTTTGCCACCAAGTGTCTTATTTTCAAGGAATGGTTCACCATAAACAGTTTTGTTTTAAAATGACATTCACATACGCATGTTCAAGTTCGTTCGGTTGGCCTTTGGTTTCATTTACATCGAACTTTACACAGCAGGTCTTAAAATGTGAATGAGTAAATGAATTAATTTCTACAATGTTTGTGAGCTATTCCACTTCTCCGCTCAGCTTGCAGCTCACGCTGGAAATGCGGGGCGAGAGGGCAGCAGCTGGCGTGAGGTAAAGTCAAGTGTGTGATTAGACAAGGTATTAAAGTCTTAACAGATCTCAATCAGAGATGAGAAAGATTAAGGAATTTCAGAGCATGTCCCAGATCTCTCCCCCCCCTTAAGAACTCATTTTCTAGGTCTAAGAAACAAAAGATTCAGTCAAGACAGATCTGGGTTTGTAGAAGTCAACTCGCTTTGTATTATGCAGTGAAACTGAAAATGCACTTTAAATTAATATCACATGCAGTTAAAACACATTTATTTAAAAGCATGTCAGGTAAGAATCTCTAATTTCACAGTTTAATTGTTTGAAGTATTTTTTAAGTTGACAATTAACATTTTAGTCTTTTTTCTTTCTCTGAATCAAATAATGATAACACATCCTCTATAACATCTATAATGAGATCTTGTCAAGACAGACGCACACAGAATATGGTCAGCCAGATACTAGAGTTTTTAGTACGTCTGCACCGTGCCGTCCATCACCAATACTCTCATCTCTCTTTTAATGTTTGCTCAAGCTGCTGTCATGTTAGCGAAGCCCTGCTGTCGATTTTGTTCCTGGGGGAGGGGGAGTGAGGTGGGTGGATGAGTGTGTGTGTGTGTGTGTGTGTGTCTGTGTGAGTGAGTGAGTGAGTGTGTGTGCCAAAGAGGTCAGGGCTGGTGGTTCAGACTCCAGTGAAAGTCCAGCACAGGTGCACCAATATCAAAATGATATTTGGGCTGCCTTCGACTAAGGAATTTTCTGGTTGACTAGTAGTCATTCATTTTAAGCATTAGTCGACTTATCGCACATTTATTAAAGGGGTCATATGATGTTGCTAAAAAGAACATTATTTTGTGTATTTGGTGTAATGAAATGTGTAAGAATCAAATATGACCCATGTCTGGACTAATACAGTGCACCAAATTAGCAGGTTTAAGATTAATAATGCCTTTAGAAACTGAGGCCCAAAACAAAAACTTCAGTCTTCATCGGTTCTTCAGTTCTCATTAAAATTTAAAGATACCCCAGATCTAATATCCTGCAGACAGGCAAGCAAGAATCCGAAACCTTTCTTCTCACGCTTCTCAAAGGCAAATAAACTGAAGTGTCTAATAGTGCTATACTGTAGAACACAGTTTACAATGAGATCAAGTCCAGAATATCCTGGAAATGTTCAGGAACTTTGGTGCAGAAAATATATATAAATAGCCACCTTTGAGTCGGTGAAGAGAAAGCAGGTCATCAGAGCGCTTGTCTGTCAGGTTACTGTGGTCAAACCTGCTCAGCCACGCATGAAGACTTCAGCGCTGTCACCATAGACTGTATAAAAACATGGACGTAGTGTCCGTGACGTCACCTGTAGGTTTCTGAAGAGCGTGTTTGAAGCTCAAAGTGGACGGAGCGGGCCGTCGCCATCTTGGCAGCGTGTCACTCCCGGATAATCGAAAATGGGCAAAAAGGCGGGAGCTGGTTGCTGAAGCCACGCCCACGTAGCTCGACGGTGGTGACAGCAGCGGCAATCCACCTGTCACTCAAGTGGCCACGCCCTTAATTATGGAGAACTTCAAGGCTTAATATAATTTAAATGGATGAGTTATAAAAAAAATCACCCACCTCACAGTTGTCATGAAGGGCAAAATTAGCTATATAGGCCAAAATCATTTTTTTAACCCCAGTCGATGAATTGCAGTTTTAGTCACTTCCGTGTTGGTTTCACCAGAGAGAGCGGGAGGTTGCCGCTTGGCTGTGAGTGAAGAGAGCTGATCTCAGACCAGAAATCACACACTAACCACTCTAAATCACAAAAACACTATTCAAGCAGCCCAAAGACAAACCACAGCTGGAGAGGGTAAAGTCTGAAAGCATTCACTAGGGCATTGTTATTATTTATTTGATGAATAGAATCACATTTATATTAATCAGACTCATTAAAATGTGAGTTAAATCATTTTTAATATATAAAGCTATCCAATACTAGAATGCTCCTATCCCATCTGAAGGACTGAAGCTGTGAGTTCACATGGTTTGATGGGATTGTTTGACAGACACAAACAATGACACGTCTGCACCGTGCCGTCCATCACCAATACTCTCATTAGAACGAGCCGTTTTAGGTAGGCGTGGCTGACTCTTAACTTTTATAAAGAATATCATTTGGATTTGAGACTTTAGTCTTTGCAACTTTACAGATCTTCTTTATGCACCAAGAGCTTGTAACACTTCAAAGAGAAAGGAAAAATTGAAATCGCATCATATGACCCCTTTAATAAGCTATTTAAATCATTATAATGAGCCTTTAATTGCCTACATAGCCTAATAAGCGCTCAAGTGCACGCATAAAGCTTGCCACAGCGCACCGGCAGAAGTAATGATTATGAATGTGTCAGGGAAAAACAGTAAGGAGGCTGCATTAACATTTTAATAATGTATTGATAAACAAGTGTTTTCTTTGTTTTCGGTTTAAGAGATGAAGTCGGCGACACTGACTCGTCAACTCCGCAGTAGTGATGCACCTGTATGCATGTTTCATACGTATTACATAATCTGAGAAAATTTGTTGTCCATTTGAATTGGTTTATTTGAAAGTAGACATTTCACTCTTTATAGATATATTTTTCATGTCTGTAAGGCAAAGTTATACACGGAGTTTCGAGCTCAAGTTCACAGAGACCGAGACGGCAGAAAGCGCGTCCTGTTTGTTTTCATTATTTTACAAAAGCGCAATGTTTTGTTGTTATTTTGAGTGGACACAAATAAACGTAGAGTCTTTACAGATTTGAAAGATGTATTTCTCTTATCTGTATGAAAAATGACAGAGTATTTTAAGAGCGAGTGAGTGCACCGGCGCCTCCATCTGTCCTGCAGTGAGCGCGCTGCTGTTCAGCTTCCACACAGACACTGAATAGCGCACATTTCTCTAGGTTAACATTAGATTGAGTGGCCATGTAAAGTTGCTGCTACTAACATATTCCAGATGATAAGCCATATTTGAGGTTGATGAATGATAGGCGAGTGTTTGGATTAGGGTTGGGTATCATTTGAATTTTATCAATTCTGATTCCGATTTTTTCGATCCCCAGTTTTGATTCCAATGTGATTATATAATGATATCAAACATTTATCCTGTCTCTTTTTTTACAAACCATTTATTGGAGCTGAATACCATGAACAAAAATCAACAGGCTACATAAAAACTCTTTAAGAGCTGTTTGTGTGCAAAATAGACCCCCCCCCATGGAAGTTGTGTTTCTCTCATGATTCTGAAGAAAAAAAACATTAAACAACTAAACAAAATCACATGTAATTTATGAATGAATGATTAAATGATAGAGATGCACACTTTTTGTTAGTGTGATCTGCCAATACCGATTTTTGCCGATTCCGATTTTCTTTCTAAGAACTATAATTGACAGCATATACAAACAAAAATCTACTTTTCTTCAATGCAAAGTTTTATTTTCATAAAAAGTCAGCAATAAAATAAGAACAAATAAAACATGTTACACAACATGCGTTCTTTTTCTCAACTATTTAACGTTCCAAAACTGACTGTGTTTAACTGGATACTCGCTAAGACGGGCATTTTGACATAATTTTGTATGTATTTCAACGTTTTAGCGCAGTTAGCCACTCATTTTGATATTTGTGGCTCACAAGCTGTTTGAGACTGAGTGCGGCTTGCACGCTCCACTAATATAGATCAGTGGTGGTGTGTGCGCGTTTGGTGTAAGCGCGAAACCTGCGGGAATGACTATAATGCGCAATACAAGCACTATTTAACCGGAGCGAATGAGACGTGGGTGTGAGAGAAGGGGTCGTCGGAGAGATGAGAGTGAGAATGCGTGGCCGGTGTTATTGCCTGTGCCGCTGGTAACTGGCTCGAAATCGGAAAATAAAATATTCTATTTATTCTTATCAGCTGATCAATACTTAAAAAAAAAACACAAATAATTATGAATTTTACACAAAAGCGGATCAGTTTCTTGATCAGACTAGAATTCTCTTTATCACATCCACATCTGATGAAATCAAACCAAAACGTCGTCAGACCTTGATTAAAACATCTGCAGACTTCTGTCGCTGCAGTCAGAAACCAGCTCCTGCTAGTCACAGTTTAGACTCGATTCTGTCTCTGTAACTGCATTGTGCAAATGCCATGCCAAGTCAACATTCACAGATTCAAATAAGTGTGCAGAGTGCAGACATACCTCAGAATCGCTGTTTACTTCAGAGTTTGCTGCCATTGTTACTGATAGAGAGCAAACGGTCAGTGTGTGGAGAGAGAGAGAGAGAGAGAGAGAGAGAGACGTGACCCACTGACTGACTGTCTACCGCTCACTGCAGCTCATTTGCATGGCCACACCCACATCATGTGCACATCTTCTGCCACCGCTGCATCTCATTTGCATAGACACAACCCCCATCACACGCTGTCAGTCATATATATGAAGGCCATCACAGACTCATCCAGGACATCACAGAATATCTGAAAAAACCAGCAGCTAGAAACAGAGAAATGTTCATTCCTCTCTGCTCCCTCAGTAGTGCTGCTGTTTGTGTCTCTCGCTCATCTTGAGTCATGCTGTCCTGCTAGAGGCTTTAAACCACATCTGTCCAGCCACTTTAAAAAGCCACTGTGTCCCTGATCTGCAAAGCTTGAACACACACACACGCACGCACTCGCACTCACACTCACACTCACACACTCACTCACTCACTCACTCACTCACTCACTCACTCACTCACTCACTCACTCACTCACTCACTCACTCACTCACTCACTCACTCACTCACTCACTCACTCACTCACTCACTCACTCACTCACTCACTCACTCACTCACTCACTCACTCACTCACTCACTCACTCACTCACTCACTCACTCACTCACTCACTCACTCACTCACTCACTCACTCACTCACTCACTCACTCACTCACTCACTCACTCACTCACTCACTCACTCACTCACTCACTCACTCACTCACTCACTCACTCACTCACTCACTCACTCACTCACTCACTCACTCACTCACTCACTCACTCACTCACTCACTCACTCACTCACTCACTCACTCACTCACTCACTCACTCACTCACTCACTCACTCACTCACTCACTCACTCACTCACTCACTCACTCACTCACTCACTCACTCACTCACTCACTCACTCACTCACTCACTCA